ATTTTAAAAATGTGTGATTTATTTTAAGAAATATCATTTTTGACACCATAAATTGTAAACTTTTGAATTAACATAGCGCATCGGTAATACAACAAACTGTGTACGATAAATGACTTTGAGATCGCCGGTCACCCCCATTTTAGTGGAAGTTTTAACCGTTAGATTTATATGTTGGTCCTAGTTTATCATCCCATATAATATAACAACGACGTGCTATTTCCCAAAATTTACTAAAATCGTTCAAACGCGGCTTAAAATAAATCTAATTCTCCTCTCATCGACAGTCCGACAAAGGAAGGTAGATGGACCAATAATGCAGGCAATATTGGCTCTACCTACATTATATCGTTTGATCTAAATTGAAAAAAAATATGATACATTTGGATACTTACATGTTTCACTGTTCATCAAATCCACGAAAATAAAATTAACTAATCCGGAATTGATCTTCAAACGTTTTTAATTAATAATAACACGATAGTGAAGTCAGTTGTGTGGGTTTTGTTACAATGATCTTATACAAGTGCTGTGAAATAATGGAATCTCGTCAGTAATTAACGAGTCAAGTGACTGAAAACAATGTGTGCTAATCGAAAATATAACTATAGATAGAACTGATAATGTTTGAAGTGTTGGTAATGAAATGAACATTAGCGCTGTGAATTGTAAAAAATGCTCAGCCGGTGGAAAAGCAAAGACAAGTCGGAGAAGACCGGCAAGTCGTCAAGCTCAACCGGCAAGAAAAAACGGAAAGGACGAGATAATGGTAAGTTTAAGACGAATATAGACCTTCTATAATTGTAACTTTAATAATTATAATCGCTTCAATTTTATGTTAATGTATTGATTTAGCCTAATAAATTTACTTTTTCGATTCGTCACAAATTACAGACCGGTAATCACTCAGGAGACATGAGAATGTAAAAGACTCGGTTCACAAGATTTATTCTAAGAGATAATAAAAAAGGAAAAAGAAGGTTCAAGAAGGACCTTAACTATATAATTTTAATAATAGGGGTTAAAGTATGAAATTGCCGATTTGTACTGAAAATCTAAATTGTTTATTTTTTAAATTTTTAACAAATTTATTTAATCACAATAGTTGCCATTATTATCTATACATTGCTGCCATCTAATGGGAAGGTTATTAATGCCTTTGCGATAGAACTCCGACGATCTAGACTGCACAAACTGTGTGAAAGCATTTTGTACTGCCTTCTGGGAAGAAAACTTCTTGTCACGTAGATAATTGTCCAAATCACGAAAAAAATGGTAGTCTGTTGGAGCAAGGTCTGGTGAATACGGAGGATGACGAATGGTTTCTAACTGCAGTTCCTGAAGGGTCAAAATGGTTTCTCGTGCTGTGTGAGGTCTCGCGTTGTCGTGGAGCAATAATGGTGAAGATCGATTCATGAGTCGGGGCTGTTTTACTGCTAGTTTTGTCCACATGGTTCGGAGTTCGGCACAATAGACATCTGCCGTTATTGCTTGACCAGATCGGAGAAAACTATAGTGAATAACACCATGCTGAGACCACCAAACAGTTACCATTACCTTTTTATTGGTAAGTTTTGCTTTAGGACACTGTTGTGGCATTTGACCTGGGGTCAGCCATTGCATTTTTCTTTTCCGGTTATCATAAAGAATCCACTTTTCATCACATGTTACAATTCGATCCAATATTCCTTCATTTCTGTACCGGTTCAACAAGGCAACACAAGTTTCAACACGCGTTTCTTTCTGCAGATCAGTCAAATCATGAGGCACCCATTTTTCGTATTTTTTTATTTTATTGATTTGACGCAAGTGAGTCAATATTGTGGGTAAGGTAACGTTAAACCATGCCGCTAATTCCTGGGTAGTTTGACTAGGATCGGCTTCCACTATCTCTCTTAATTCATCGTTATTCACCTGTGTGGGCGGTCTTCCTCGTGGCTCGTTCTTTAAGTCGAAATTTCCATCACGAAAGCGTTTAAACCAAAATCGCACGGTGCGTTCATTAGTAGACCCCTCTCCAAACGCAGCATTGATATTGCGGGCTGTTTCTGCCGCGTTAGTTCCGCGTCGGAACTCGTATTCAAAAATCACTCGAATTTTCGCAGTATCCATCTTTCTTGTCTAAATTGAATAACAAAAACAATTGAAAGTCGATATTCAAATGTTTCAAATAAAAAAAAAAAAATCACAGAAACCATTTGAAAAAAGTTTCATTCGAAAACCTCAAACTATGAAGATTCTATGAAAATTCAAAGAACCTATTGCAATAAAACGGCAATTTCATACTTTAACCCCTAATAGTAATCGACGTGACGTTTAACAATAATGAATTGAAAATGGTTTGTGATTTATCGGCACGTCCTCTCGTTTCAAGAATGTTTATAACGCAAACAATTTTCTTCACATCTTTGTGTTTCGTCGTTATACAATGCACGTTTACTAGAATTATGGCACGACCTCTCGCTTCGAGAATATTGATGGGAGTGACGACGGAACCAAGCAAAATAAGAATGACAAAGAAAACGAATGAGAGAAAAATTCAAAATTCAAAATTGTATTTGAACGTATTCATGAAACATTTCAACTTTTCTACTTGTCTACTGCTTTAGCAGCATTTTTTGCGACCGTATACCTATATTTCTTATAATTTCATTTTGTATATTTTTTATAATATCATTAAATAAGTTTAATATTCTACATATTTTCTTGAAGACTTAAAAAATCCATTGACACAAAAAACGATTCTACCCCTACTATTGTAAGCAATAACATCATCGAAAACGCGACAGCGCGTCATTATCATGGCGCTTTGAGTAGCATGTCTTACAATTTCTTCAATGCTTGATGACTGACGCCATTGATGTGTTAAATTTCCATCGAAGTAATTCTTCTTATCGTATCGATGGCATGCATTATTGCATGATAATGCTTGCAACCGTGGTTGGCGAAAGAATTTGCCTAGATTGCGCCAGACGTACGGGTAAGGAATGATACGTCATACGGGGAAGCTCCTTTCGCGCACCCTTCGAATCGAAGTAATGGCAAGATTAAGTTGTACAAATTAATCCCGAATTTTTCATTAACGGCCTGGACTCTCAATTTGGGAATCACCAAACTTATCGACGCGAAATCGACTTGGAACGATCATGTTTTACCATAATTGTCGCATTAATCCGATTTGCGCTCTATGTGTCTGTTCGAGCGTCGACCCGCATGTTCAGCTATCGTATCGGATCGGGGATATATGAAATGTGTGGTCTTCGCACATTCGGAGTCGTTCGCACGTCCAGGTGTTGATGCAGCCGATCAATCGTCAATTACGGTTGCGTACGACGTGATCGGAAATTCACAGGATGCACACTCCTGTGTCGAGCTATATCGTACGACCCGATGTGAAACTTTTTCCTCCTATTACAGCGACAAATAGATTTTTTCGAACCCGTTTTGTGGAATTTTTCTTTGTATTTATTTATTCTGTACTCCCACACGGAAGAAAAAAAACAATGGAAGAGCCTTAAGAGGCAGCATGCCAAAAAAGATTTGACATTGGCTCCGCCCAAATTTGTGAAACAAATATATGCCTGAAGTTCGCATGACATGCGACAGGAGATGTTGAATTTTGCGCATTAAAAGTACCAAATTCGTTTTAGCGGAATAACTCTAAAACTAAAGGGATCGGAAAGGGAAAGGGAGGGGAGGGAAAATCCGTAGTGACAATTGTCGATCATGCATAAATATAATTAATTATCTAATTTTTGTCCTAATAACCTGTAGCATTTCCAGGATAAATCGAAAAAATGTGAAAATTAGAGGTCATTTCGTGATTTTTATCTATCGAGGAAACTTTATTGTTTAATGTTTCTGATTAATGTCTATGCTTGAATATATCGTATAGTTACTCACACAATATTTTATTTTTAACTTTAAAGTGGATATACCCCTCTAAAATCAAATCGAATATTAGGAATTTTTCCTCTGCTCCCTCTTAAACTTCGGTTACTATCAGAACCACTGTCACCAAAACTCACACTATCATAATGTGAAACACCATGATAGTGTGAGTGTTGTCGTAGTTTCTAATTTAAAAGATATAACAAATTCTGGACTGTTAATATAATTTAAACTTTACCCGGTTGGTATGTCGTTGAAAGTTCACTACCTATTCTTGCAAGTTATAACATTTTAATTTTATATTGAAATTTCATTCATGGTGCTGCCATCTACTATCATAACTGGAAGACTACGAACGATTAACGCCTATTAACGTTTTTCAAAAAAAAAAGTCGACCACATTGCAGCGATATAATGTTTACACTGGTTTGTTATAACAATAAATCTATTACAAGAAACAGGAAATGGAAAATTTATTAAAATTAAATAAAACAAGACTTAACGATGATACGTACCACGACACCACCATATGGGTTACAGGTATGACTATTATTTTTGCACTCCAGATTTGCAAAATAAGACATTTTTCCACAATTTTTAAGGTTTTGTACGAGAAAATTGACACGACCAAAACGTACAAAGCGAAAATGGTGAACTGAGCTCAAATATGCGGAACTTCGCTTAGTGTTGGCACACGTGTTACACCTACTAAGCACTTCTATTGTGTTTATTCTCCTGTGCTCCTCTATTTGACATAAGCGTAGAATGTTAGCATTTATTTGTTCATACACATATACGAGTATGTACTCGAAAGTTCTGTACTTACGAATAATGCTTATGAATCACAAAAACCTTGCTTTATAAACAATACAGTTACTAAAGTTTCTAAGAAACGCCAATACATCCCACACATTATTTTTAAACTCAAACTTTATTTATTAATATTACTATTTAGTTAATATAATTAAACTATCAGAATTTTCTGGTCGTAAGAACTCTATCTCAGTACCTAATTTTGACTAACCCTTTTTGGATAACAGTAATATCTGAATAAAGCTAAAATGTAGGTTTTTAAAAATATTTTTCAGTTAAAAACCATTTATTTGTTCCAGAAGATGACTGGCATGGCGATGGCTCCAGAAACGACGGTAAGTGACAAAATATTTAAATAACACATACTAAAGACAGAGAAGTACACAAATTAAATATGCACTAGTGAAAAGTTGAGCAGTCACCAGAAAAAAAATTAGCTTTACTGGTTCATAAAAAGATACCTATCCTTCAAAATGATAATTTCTAGAATTTACTAGAAAATGTACTAGAATTTCATAACGTTGCTCGTTGCTTAGTATAGCATACAATAGGCTTATGGACGCAATTGTCTTTCTCTAATTTAAGAAACAAAGCACATAATTCCCTTGAGATTGAAACAAATCATTGTGTAAAAGTTATTGTTATAAAATTATAAATAACAAATACAATACAAATATTCTTTATTGCACACTGGAACAAATACACAATAATACAAAAAAGACAGGTCCAGCCGGCCTTATAGCTAGATAGCAATTTTCTTTCACAACAACAACCTTTGGTTTACAAGAAAACTTTTTAGATGATAATTAATTGAGGGCGCAACGGAACACGTATTTAAACACCTATTACTCTTACACAAATAAAAAATATATAAATATGAACAAACAAACAAACATACTTACATAAACTAAAAGTAGAATAATATGAAACATAATAACAACACATAATATTATTCCTCTTGGCGTGTTGACGTTGACTCTGACATTTATATTTGAGAGAACCAGTGGGTACTGTAATGAAGGGTAACTCGGATTGCGTTACGAGAGGTACTTCTAAAAATATAAACTGGGATAAACTTCAAAGATTTGGTTTATTTCACATTTTTTACATAGTTTATACTTTCAGTCTAGGATGTAATGTGTAATATGTCAAGATCTTCTGTTTTCTTATTTCAATCCTTAACATTCTAAATATAAAACTATAATCACTACCTATATTCAGCCAGCAATTCTACTCATAGAGTAGAGCCTAGTCTACAGTACTTAGCGATTGAGGCGGTTTTATCAGTGGCGTTGTACAGGTCCTCTCATGTGTATACGCAGGGCAGAACAAAAGATGTGCCATTGTCTGAGGAGAGATACCACACAGACAGGCACTCTCCGAGCTATATCCCCACTCGAGTATGCTCTCCTTGCTTCGACCGACTTAGGTCTGCAGCCTGTTTAGAGACAAGTATGCCAAGTAGTTCATGCCCAAGAGGGAGGTACTCCGACAGCAGAATGAGTGATGCCATGGGGTATCTCTCCTTTCAAAGTTTTATTCGGGCCTGGTTAGTTTCCCGGTCCAGTGGGTATACTTCTTCAATGAAGCTATGGCTATATTAATAGAAACAACGTTTAACGCTGGTTCTAAGAGCCGAGATTTTTGTTCCTCATGAGGTCTGAGAGAGAGACGTCGGCCAAGAGACACAAAAAGACTAAAAGGTAGACCACCCGTCCGATGGATTGATCACGTCAAGACCAGACCAAGGATTGTTGGGGAAAAATATTTTTTGCCCTAGAGTCGTGGTGGAAGGATCGACCAGTCTGACTTAACGCGTCCGATCGAAGGCAGGGAATTCCAGTTTCATGCTTCTCACCTTGAAGAAGGTAGAAAATTGGATAGAGTATAAAATACATAAACAGAGCTTTGAAATTAATATGACAATTAAATTTATACAGATAAATGCATAGTTTTGTACAAATAGTACGAGGTTAATGCACTGTTAGTAATTTCATGTTATATTAAACTTGAAACGAATTATACATCGCAAGTTCCGGAGCACAAGGAGATATTGAATTTCACGATATCTTGGTTTAAACCGTCCAATCACATGTTAAATATGCTCTTCAATACTATTGAAGACCATTTATGATTAATATTTCACTAAATGAAGTGAAGCTTTTCAGATTGAAAAAATGTAATAATAGTATTGATATTATTTCATGAAATAAATCTTTCTACCCGTTAAACCATTTTACATTTGTATTTATTTTACTCCATGGTTTATTTACTCTTTCATTGTTAACATTCGAGGTAATGAAACAGACAGTCGAAACGTTTACGTAAATAATGTGATGAACTCTCAACCCTTCCTCCGGGATTTGCACTAACCATTTAATAACTCTTTTCCACTTATGTTAAGAAAATCCAGATATGTCGTTCACAGCCTAAGGTCGTCTTAAATTGCCGAAGCCTCGCGTGTGACGCTGCGATCCAACATGAACTTTAATTTCTACGGGACAGGTTACACTTCTTTAAGCAAAAAGTGAATAGAAGGTCCTGCAGGCGCGGGCATCGAGCTGCGCTGGGCACACTTTGTACAATAGAACATATACATAACATTAGTAGATAACTAAATAAAGTATACATGTCTACCAACAAAAGATCGAAGCTGCGCTGCTAAAGCTGCTAAAGTGTGTACTACATACACGAAATTACTAATATTCGTTTGATTATTGCAAATTCGAAGAATAAAATATTTGTTACAAAATCAATTGAAAAATATATAAAATAAATCTTACAAATTGTTTTTGTGGAAGTGAAGATACTTCATTTTAATTTATTTTAACTTTATACATACAAGTACGTACCTACTGAGAATGTATAAATAATATACCTAAATGTTTACTTTTCTCATTTAATTTATAATTATTCTAATCTTTGTTGAAAATTATGGTTTTGATTAATTTACAGAAAATCCTTTAAAATGTAATTTTATCGTAAGGAATCAGTCTATGCCTATGTCAACAAATTGTTTCTACCAAAAAATCTATTCACTACTAATCGCTTTAAGCTAATTGTTTTTGTATTATGCAGCAAAATCCCCGGATGTGTACGATCGCAAGTAGCAAAATAATGTGTCTGGCAACCACACCAATTACTGAGTCGTAGTATTACTATGAGTACCTGAACAACGAAATTGACTTCTAGCCAGACCAGATAAAATTTAGAAAAACCTGGAACTACCTCATCAAGCGCCTACTTTTTAACCGCTGTACTATCGATGACCAATAATGTACTGAATAGTTCCTAAAAATATTTTACAGGCGTCCTAGACCTAATTTTTGTTTAAATTGTTGCATATAGTAGTGAAGAGTGAGTGTGAAACATTTCCTACTTTTGAAATACGTGTATAGATTCACTCACACATTTGTAAAGAAAAATTATAGTTATCTCTCTCTGATTGATAGTTTACAACTGAGAATGTAGCTGCGTTAGTGTGCGACGATTTATATATAGCATTAAGAGCAGCAGCTACGGGCCCTACATTTCGCCACTATTTACAAGCGGGAGCAGCGAAGAGCTCACGCTTCGCCACTTCAGTTCATCGAACGAAAAGATTTAAATTATTTATTTGCATTTATTTCTGTTTTGAATTTTAAATTAATAATACAATCAAAATGAATAAATTATTTTGTTGTTTGTGCTGCAAAAACGTTAGTAAAAGCGCATAGCGGTGCATAAAAAATGCGGAAACTTGTTTAAAATTTCGTGAAAATTTTTACGCATTTTTTTGCGATTTCTAATTGCAGTGCGCGTGTGATAATTATTTAAAAATTTAGTTTAAATTACAAATTGCCGTTAAAAATCGCGGGACCGTGACCGCAATGCGCGCTTGTGCAAATTACTTTTTATTTATATTCAATTTTTATTTGAATTTTAGTTCGTTGTGTTATTTTGCTTTTTGAGTGAACAGTAAATTATTAAAAATTTAAACTTTTATGTGTAGTGCGAAAACGGAAGCGAACACGTGTACGAGGTCGCTTATGATAATTCTAATAATGCGTTCAATGTGAGACCACCAACGCCAGTTCTTTCTAAAAAATTTAACGTTGGCGATCTAGCAAGCAGTAATAAAACGGGTAAGTTGATTATCAGTGAAACATTAATTTAATTTCTAAATTAAAACGTGTCAATTCGCATGTTGACTTTTAAATTGTATCTAGCCCTTTAAAATTATAGGCTTCCCCACTTTTCTTTGTAGTATTAAATATATATATTTGGCACCATATGGAAAGATGAAAATATATAATTCGTGGAACTGATTGTGATTTTGATGTCCATAATAAACAATGGTGTCAGTTTTACTCCAGACAGTATTTTCACACGTCATTTTACACTGTGTTTTCTAAAGTACAAGCTTTGGAACCTTTCGAGTTTTATCAACTTACGATGATTTTAGTTTAACGTATTCTAATCTAATATATTATTTGACATTATTTACACCTTAACGTTGTAAATATAAAATTAATAAGATCAAAGATATTTGTTAATAACAATTATATTCGCCTATTAATAAAATTATGCTGTAACTAAACGAATGCAGATATTTTCTACATAAAAACATATAGCATAGCTCTTTTAATTTTCCTGTTCTAGAAACATACCTCCCAAGTAGCAAACTATCCCAAAAAGGCATTGTAGTTTTGGTGATTCAAGGCAACGCGTTACTAGGTTTGTAACTAAATAATGTCTATTATAAATTTGGTGTAACATCAATGAAGATAAGGTTAAATAAAAATAGGCACAACTTTACAAGGTTCCTAAAATCGTTAACAAGAATCGTTGTATTTAATATATCATCAGCTTTGTGCAAGAAGTCATTAAAGGCAAAAATCACTAAGTATAGTTAAATGTACGGACGAGCTCCGTTCTATTTTTTCTATAAACTGTAAAATATCCCTTAATTCTAGCTATTCAATATTCGACGTTGTGACCATACAGTTTTCATAGCCTTTGATCATTTTTAGATTTTATGAATTCTTTGAAGTAAATTGCGTCCAATAATAGTTTTTATTAATTAGTTATTACTATTAGTTATTTTATTATGTTATTATTAGTTAGTCTGATATTTATTGTTCCTAAACTCAATAAGGTAACTTAATAATTTTTTCATTATGCGAATGTGAAAAAAATGTTTAGATGCGCATAATTATTTTTAATCAAGATCTACGGTAAAAAAAATCATTACTAAGGTTTCAGATTGAGATTTCTCAACTCGAGAAATGCTGACATATCGGGCCAATTTTTGTGATCTTAACAAGAACACATGGACAAGTAGACTTAAAATAGC